CTGAAGATAGAGAAAGGCAAAAAGGCATATCCTAGCAATTGTGAACTTAATACCAATGATTTTAAAGACCTTCAATGAATGATCAGAGAGCTTTTTAAGAATCTGGGTGTGTATCAGTTTACCAGGGCTGCAATACCAAAATACTGCAGACTGGCTGATTTTAAACAACAGAAATTTATTTTCTCACAGTTCTGGAAGTTGGAGGTCTAAGATGAAGGTGCCAGCAGGTTTGGTTTCCTTTGAGGCCTCTCTCCTTAGCATGCAGGTGGCTGTCTTCTCCTTGTGTTGTCACATGGCCTTTCCTCTGTGCACATGCACCCCTGGTATCTCTTCCTCCTTTTACAAAGAGACCAGTCATATTGGGTTACATTCACATTATTACAGGTCCATCCACCCTACTGGCCTCATTTGAACTTAATCGTCTCTTTAGAGATCCCATCTCCAAATAAAGTCGCATTCTCAGTTTAGGACTTCAGTATAGGAATTCTGTAGGGATGCCATGCAGCCCATAAGATGGTAGTAACCACTATGACCTCACTAATGGATAAGTTGATTTAATCCCTCTCCTCTATTTTATTACCCTCCACATAAACACACTCTTTTTTTTTGTTAGTTGTGATAGTTTGGTATTTTCGCAGTGTCTTGTTTTTAAAGACACAATTTAACAGAGCTGTCTATAACTCAGTGAGCACCCTGGCAGCAGCTGAACTGTTACTTTGCTTCACAGCAGATTGAGAATTCACACCCAACAAGCAAAATAATTTTGACACATGGTTCTGTGTGAGGTTACAAGCTGTTGTTTAGCAGGGTATTGTGGTCTTTTTGTAATTGCAGAGAATGGTTGACCCTTTAGGACTGCTGTTCCCATCATAGTCCATGTAAGCCGTGCATGGGACCTTGGCAACATGTGTCATGGCTTGGTATTAGCAACTTCTTAGGACCCTCGAGTGCTAAGAGTTTTGATTCTTTATAGTCATTACATTGTGTTATAAATTCTATACTATTTTTTGTTTTTTTCCTGCACTAGGAAAGTCAATTTAGTATTTGAATAACATTTCCGAATACACAGGTCTATATGTAGAAATGCTGCTCTTATATATGTCAGTGCTCTTACATTAAAATGAGGAATACAGTACTGAAGAAATAATGTGTATTAGGCTTATTAGCACCATACATAGCATGTAGCAATCACTCAATAAACGGGATATTCTTTCGCTTCGTTTTTCTTAACATGCAACTCATTGAGAAGCAATATGCACACAGATAGTAGCAAAGATAACTTGATGCGCTTCAGACATGGTGAATAAAAAGGAAAATTAGCTCCTCCGGGGCCGGCTGAGTGGCGCGATGGTTAAGAACTGGCTTGGGACGCCAGAGGGCCCCGGTTCGGATCCCACATATGAGGGCCAGTGACACTGCCCTCCACAGCTAAGATGCTGAACAACAGCTCAACCTGGAGCTGGGCTGCCGTGAGTCGCCGGTGACGGCGTAGGCTGCAGCCCCTGTGGCAGTGGGCTGCCATGGGCTACCGTGTGTAGCCAGCAGCCTCAGTGAGCTGCCGTCCAGAAGCTGGCGACTGATCTGCCTCGCCTGGGAAGAGTGCAATGATGGTGCCAACTTGGGCCAATAAAGCAACATCTTCCACAACTAGACTGAAGAACAAAACAGCAGCAACTTGTCTGTTCCCCTTCCCCTAATTCCCCAGCGCTGTTCCCATCCCCCTAATTCCCCAATAAAAACCTTTTAAAAAAAATTAGCTCCTTCAGCACTATTACAGAAACCTGTAAACCACCTACATTTTACATCCTTTGCTTACACTGAGACTAAGGGTGTGTGCTTTCATAATTTTCTATATTTTTTCTCATCTAAGTCGGAATTAACTTGTCTTTCTCCCCAACAACCTGTAAAATCACAAGGTTTAGTCCTGGTTACTGTATTTATCCATGTCTTCAGCATCCGCCAGAGTGCCTGGCCCATTGGAAGTGCTCAGAGTATTGGCTGAGTGAATAAAATAAGTCGGTCAAAAAAAAAATCATGCTTAGTGCAATCCTCCCCCCACCCCCCATCTTCGTTAATTGCATAGTTATTATAGGGTTCACTTTTCACTTGTTACCCCACTCCACAGATGCATCTAATCAACATTTGTTTTGATTGGTTTATTGCTCCAAAGTGATATAAATGCATCAGTTGCCCATTATCCACATTTTCACTTTTTGTGGTTTCAGTTACCACAGTCAACCATGATCTGAAAATATTAAATGGAAAATTCCAGAAATAAACAATTCATAGGTTTTAAATTGCGTGCCATTCAGAGTAGCGTGATGTAACCTTGCCCCATCCTGCCGCGAATCATCTCCACACTGTCGGTGCTGCTCACCCATTAGTCACTTAGTAATCTTCTCACTTATCACATCCATTGTTGCAGTATCACAGTGCTTGTGTGCTTATTTTACGTACTAATGGCCCCAAAGAGCAAGAGTAATGATGCTGGCAATTCAGATATGCCAAAGAGAAAGAAGCTCTAAAGTGCTTCTTTTAAGTGAAAAAGTAGACGTTCTCGACTTAATAAGCAAAGAAAACAATCATATGCTGAGGTGGCTAAGGTGTATCCTAGGAATGTATCTTCTGTCCATGAAATTGTGAAGAAGGAAAAATAAATTTGTGCTAGTTTCGCTGTGACACCTCAAAATGCAAAAGTTATGGTCACAAGTGCATGGTAAGTGCTTGGTTAAGATGGAAAATCCGCTAAATTTGTGAGTGGAAGCCGTGAACAGAAACCAGGTTCTGATTGACAGCAATGTGTTGTGCCAGAAAGCCTTGAATCTGTGACGACTTCAGCAAAGGACCCACTGAACTGAGTGACCACATTCACATAACTTTTATTACAGTACGTTGTTGTAATTCTATTTTATTATTAGTTATTGCTGTTCATCACTTACTGTGCCTAATTTATAAACTCAACTATCATAGGTATGTATGTGTAGGAGAAAAACAGTACAGTATACACAGGGCGGGCCATGATTTCAGGCACTGAGGACCATGGAATGCGTCCCCGTGGGTAAGCGGGGCTACTGTACATAGAACATTCAGGTGATTTATTGCACTCTTTGAGTTAATTTGGAGGGCGTGGGCGTGCCTTTTTCTTTATATGAAGATAGTTGTTACTCTTCTTCCATGGTTTTTCATCTCAGTAAATGGAAGAAACACCCATCCAGATGTCCTAAAAGAAACCTTTTATCCTTCCCTTTTCCTCATTCCTGTGTCCGATCAATTACCCTTGAGTCTACTTCCTAAAAATCTTTGGAATTCTAGTACTTCTGTCCAGCTCCAGTACTGCAGTCCAAGTTTTTTAGTCTTCTAGATTTCTGCAACATCCTCCTGATAACATTGCTCGCTTTTTGCAGCCCAGTTTCTTTTCTCTCAGTTCTTCATATAGCCAGGATGATCTTTTAAAAGTGTAAATCAGGTCATTTCTCCTACCCTGCTTAAAACCTTTCAGTGCATTTATTTTCTCTGATTCTTCAAGGCCCCTCAGAACAGGGTTTTGTTTGTGTGTTTCAAGCTTTACTTCATGTCTTGTTACTCTTTCCTCACCCAGGCCTTCCGCTGACGATTGCTCTTCCCTGCCTTCCTCCCCCAAACTTCCATGTTCTTGCTCTGCTCATGTTCATGCATCAGGTCTAAACGCTAGTGACCATTTCCTCTAAGATGTATTCCTAGACTGCTAAATTTGATTAGACTTTGCTCTGTGTACGTCCATTGGAAAATTATTATCTCCTTGTTTGTCTGCCTGCCTTTCTGACATAAAAGTTTGATGAGTGCTGAGTCACCACCACTCTCCAGTTTAGGGCAGCAGCAGTTCCTGTCACATGGTAGCCTACTCAAGCGCTTGTTAATTTGTGATTTTTAAATGTACTGTTAACTCTGCATCTTAAAGATGTGGCAGAATAATCAGCATAGGCCCGTAATGTTAGATACTCCTTTATACTGAATAGGTGTTAGTATATCCTTTTTAAACAAAGGACCAAGAAACTAGAGCCTCTGGCCAAATCCGGCCCTTAACTTTTTATAAGGACCACAAGCTAAGGAAAAAAAAAATTTTAAGTGCTTGGAAAAAAGTCAAAAGCATCATATTTTATGACACAACAATATCATAATTAAATTCAAATATCAGTGTCCCTGAATAAAGCTTTATTGGCCACACTCATTTGCTTACACACTGTTTGCTGCTGCTTTTGTGCTCCGACCACAGAGAAAGCAGTAGTGACAGACTGTATGGCTGGCGAAGCCTCACATGTTCACTGTCTGGCTATGCACAAAACAGGCTGCTGACTACTCTAAATGATTTCCGTGACATGAGAATAGCATGGATCAGTGTAATTAGACATATTTAAGTTATGTCTCAGTTCCCTTTTTTCTTTTTTTTTGAGCTCAAGGTTTAACCACGGCCATTAAGATAAGAGAATATCATTTGAGTTTCCAGAGCTGTATTCCAACCTCTGCTTTCCACACACCTAGAGCTTCTTGAAACTTGAACGTTGCTGATTAGATGTTGAGAAAACAGAGACTTCAAATCCTAGGAAATTGTGTAGACAAAACCAGTGTAAATGGCTTATCTCCTGCCCAATGGTCTAAATGTAATCTTTTCCTAAATATTCTGATTATTAAAATTTACTATTTTTACAGTTAAGGAGAAAAAGGGAACAACTTTTTATGCTATTTGATATAGTCATGAAAATATGCTAAAGCCCTTTTATAAATTTTGAATCATTTTTGTCAATATGTTATCTTGCAGAAAAATAGGCCCAGCCATGTTTTGGTTGTGTAATCTATTACTGATTATTGGAAGTAACTTTATTTGTTAGGACTTAATTATTTCGCAATATAGAACCTTCATCTTCATCATTTAATAAAATCAAATGGTTTTTACAACATTGTTTACATTTTGTTTAAAAATATTTTATTGAGAAAATACTTAATTAACTTTGTTTTATTTTTAGGGTTATATCCTGTGTTGTGACCTCATGGTTTAAGTGGGAATAAAGATGAGTATAAGCAGTGATGAGGTCAACTTCTTGGTATATAGATACTTGCAAGAGTCAGGTGAGTACTTTCATAAAGTAAATAGGCCTCAAATTATTTTAATATTCTCAAAATAACCTTTTATGCATTTGAAATTTGTATCAGTCCAAACTGTTGAACTTTGTATGTTTCCTTAATGTCTGGACTGCCATTTTAAAGCTATGTGTTACTGCATGGTTTAACTCTCTGACTCTTTCAAATATGTTGGAATCATCTCAGGCAAATATTTGTAACAAATGGTTTGGCTTTCGGTGTTCAAAAACCATCTTTATAACTTGTTGTGAGCCCAGATTATTGCGCACGGTTAGCAGGAACATATAAAGTCTCAGATACCATCAATTTGATAATGTACATTCACAATCCTGAGCAAAATGTTATTGGTCCTAATTGCAGTTAGCATTTATTTCTAAAGCTAAAATTAACCATATTTTTTCAGAATGCTTTCATAAATATTATTCCAATTGATTAAGTGTATCCTTGATCTGAATATTTACTAATGTATGTATTTACTAGGGGATGATTAATAGATATAAATTATTGAAAGTCATTTGTAATAAATATTAAATCATCCAAGTGTTCTAGACAGATTAAGAGGTGTTGTCATAAAACAAGGATAACTAACTACAAGGGAAAATGTGGGGTAGATTAACAAAACAATGTAAAAGTAGAAGAGAGAGAACTTGGGTTGGAGGGGGCATAGGTGGTGGAAAAGATTGACTGCAATGGTAAGTGCAGATTGTCAACATGAGATGGAATTCTTTGATGCTTGAAAAAGTCATGGTAGACAGGGTGAATTTCAGAAACTATAGCTTAAATCTATTGGAATGTTTTAGTAGTAAGGTGAGGTGTGGTATAAAAGAAGATAATTTTGGTAGTCGCATATGAGGAAGGACGGAAAGAAGAGAGTAGGACATTGAGCTCTCAGTTTTGGTTTGGAAACAACAGCACCTCTTCTTATAGGCTTAGCTAGTTGTCCTTTCTTATACAGAGAATGCAAACCTGGCCTTAGATTTTAGACCCCACTGCTTGTTGGGATGTTCCCAGCATCCTCCAGTTCTGGGATTTTCCCTTGGGCAGAGAGAGGTTATTTATTTCCAACCAGCATGGAACAGCTGGAACAGCTGAGAAAATGATGCCTAACAAGGGCAGGGAGAGAAAAAGAGAAGGAATGAGAGTAACCAATCAATGCAGAATAACTTGTTATGAAGCTTTGAAATAATAGATCTTGTTTTGTTTTCTTTTTTCAACTGGTAAACTGGTATTGAGGTAGATCCAAAGAGGACATCTACACAATATTTTGAATATGATAAAATGATTAATGAAGTGGAAAACGTAGTGCCCTAGTGATTGTTACATATATTACATGTATACACGTGTTTGGATATTGTTATGTAGTACTTTTTTGCCAAAATGGAAAGACTATGTTGGGTCAAAACAAACTCTGCTTTTTCTGACTTTGAATCTGACCACCATTTAAGCAAGAGCTTTCAGGCCTTGAACACCAAAGTAGAAATACATTGCGAAGGATCAGTGAATGGGAAATATATTTTAATGGCTTGTAGGTTCATTGCAAAGGCAAGGATTTAGGTTGAACCATATGAAACTACTGTTTCTAGAGATCAGAAATAGTTGAATAGCCCAACATCATCCTGTGCTGAGGTGAGGCAGGGCGAGGTGGAGTTAGAGATGTTCATGAACACTCAGAGTAAATCTTGTTTCCAAACAGAAGTCCACAGGTTGATGTTTTATGTTGCTATAGGAAAATACAGCAATGAAGGGAGCAGTAAAATAATACTCTGTATTCACTTCTGAAAGAGTATCCAGTGATTAAATACCAAAAGTCTTCTTAAAGTTGCTTATGTTCTCAGAGAAAACCCTTCTAAGTTCCATGTTTTAAGTTGCAGTAAAAATAAACCAAGAATTACATTTAAAAAAACTTTCAATGGCAGATTGATATTTATCATATTAAGTCCTTTATAATTGCTCAGTGCATTCTTAGTTATTTTATGTGTATTTTTTAGAAAGCTTTATGCTTTACAGTGTACTGGTGATGAAGTGTGATGTTAAGGTACATCTTTAAAAATGTGAACACCAGTTTCTTCATAAAAGTTGTAGCTTCCTATTTACGTTTTGACTTATAGGGGAAAATCAGACACAGCCGATGACATTTTGACTTATGGCAGTTTTTCTAGGAATGCAACTTACCATAAATTTAAGAACTGCCTATACCAGAGTTCTAAAGTTTGATCCTCTGACAACCTGCATCAGAATCACTTAGGGAATGGCGAATGGGGTCCAGGAATCTGCACTTTACAAATGCCCCAGGTGATTCTTAGACATAATAAAGTTTGAAAGCCACTGGTCTGTATTTGCTTTAGGAAAATTAGAACTTGACAAGAAAGTTGACAGCAGGTATATTCCCAATATCTTGAAAGAAAAATTATATCAATTGGGTCGTTGGGAAAATCATGACGTAGTTTTCTATGTTTTTCAATGCAAAAATGCGTAATAATTTTTCCAATGACCCAATAGTTAAGGGATAAAGTAGAAAACGTGAAATACTGTACACATTGAGATTTGGAACGTGAGAATATCTCCTAAAAAGGGAGCAGCCACTAAAAGAGGCGAATTTGTATTTGTAGGCAAGGTTTTTCAGGAATGGTGATGAGGCATGTTTATATAATAAAGGACATCATCAGATGTTCACTTGAAATTACTTACAGGAATAGGAGATGGGAAAGAGTTTAAGAAATGTGTAGTTCTGTCAACTCAGGACAGGTTCTAGATAGAGCTCAGAATCTAACCCATCTCAGCACTTGCCACTTAATCCAAAATCTTTCTTGGCTCTGATTTTCATTTATACATTTAAAAATGTCATTTTTACAATTGGTTTTATTTTGAAGTCACCTAGTTCAGAAATTTCTTCTGGGTTGTTTTGGGGATTCAGTGTATTTATCACCATAATTTCAAAGACATGCTTATTGAGAATTAGTCATTAAGTATCCAAGTAAATCTGTAAATTACTTTTAGACCATAAACATTTCTCTTAAAAGATTTAAAGCAATACAGAATAAACTAGAACCTTAATACTACTACTTTTAACATGCTACTTTCCTATAAAAAGAATACTTTCCCTAAAAAGGAGTACTGAATTGAATTAGGAGATAGGAAGCACAGAAATAATCATGATAAAGAAAGTATCTGTGCAAAGACATTAAAGGGCTGGTTTGTAAAGACTACCACAAAAGAAAATAAAATTCCCTTCTTGCTTGTGTCACTCTCTAAAAGCTCTCAGTAAGAAAGTGCAACAAACACCTCAAAGTTTTGTTCTGTTTTGATGTGTATTTGATTAAGAAATAATGTTTTTCAGTAAGCCCTTCTAATATTTGTTCTCTACAAACAGTATTTAATGTTGACTGGGCCATGGTATCCACCTCTAGAGGGGATAAAAGCACTAAAATTGTTTTAATTTTAAATACTTTTTGTGGTGATCATCCTATTATGACTGTTATAAGCATTAGAAGATATTATCTGTTAAAGTCCCTCTCTTTCCCCCAAATTACATAGCCTCTCACATCTTCAGTTTCCACATCCATAAAATTTGTTGCTTGTTAAAAAGGCATTACATTGTGATATTCGGCCCCAAATGTTTTATAGATGTCTCTGTGAAACAAGCTATCCATTCCATTTATTAAAACTAATTAAGAGAAAAGCACACTTATTGTAGGATGTTTTTATTAAGTGTTCTAACTTTTTATTTTTCTCAATTTTATCTAGAATGTTCACCCTAAGCAAATTACTTTGCTCATCACCATTTTGTACTTTTATGAACTAGCGTTCCATATTCAACAAATATTTCCTAGGGAATAAAATTAGTAATTTTTTTTTCTTTTGAGATGACTTAAAAATTGAGCGTATTTGACATGTAGTACTGTAAGTAACGATTGACTTGATTCAGTATGCTCCCTTTAATTAGTGTTTGCCCAAGGGCATTAATAATTTGATTGCCCTAATAACTGATATCTAGCAACCATATGCAGAATAAGTACTAAGTGATACATGCTAAGCTGTATGTATATAATAGAACTTGATACAGTATTAATTTTAGAAGAGCTAAGCTGGTTTGGACTTCTTAAATCCCCCTGCACTTTGTATTTTACTGTTGGCTCTCTTGTAGTTATTCACACATTAATTTTTTTCTAGAGTTATTCCTGGCAATTATTTGTGAACTTGTAGCACTGTTTTTCTTGTTGCTTTGTATAAGATGTGATTTTATTTTACTTAAATTGTGTATTTGGTTGGGGGAAGAATTTTTTATTGTAGGTTTAACTGTCATCTATTGCATGTTTAAGAGCTAAATAACTTTTCTACTTACAATGTACTTGAATGTTGGATGCTATGAAACAGTTGTATTTTGCATCTTATGATTGAAGACTGACTGGAAAATCCAAAAACAGTATGTCTTTATTGCTATTTTCTAGATTGTGATTTTGAATACTATTATTTTTTTAAATCCTCATGTTATTAGAACTGAAGTTCATCTTGTCTCCATTTATGAGGTGATGATATATGTAGATTTAAAGCATTTGGTTCATGAAAGAGCATCTTGTCTCTCCTGCAACCCACCTGTCTCCACTGCTCTCTCATCTTTTCAAAGGGATATTGCGTCTCCCTGGATACAGGCCTTGCACCACATCTCAGTCTCTCTCTCTCCCCCCCC